GGCCGAGCAAAGGCGGCCGAGGCGAGGCCGCCGCGGCCGCCGCTCGGCGGGCGAGAGGCAGAGCGCGCGGGTCCAGGGCCTCGAGCCCGAGATCACCGCGCCCGTCGACCTGAACGCCGTCGAGCGCAGCGGCAGCAAGCGTGCCCGGAGCGAGTCCAAGCACCCCGACGAGGAGCGGTCCGCCGCCGGTCAGGTCGGCGACGTCGAAATGGCCGACGAGACGCGCAAGCGGGTCCGGATCGACAGCGGCGGCGGCGGTGGTAGCGGCGAAGGCGATGGCGCTGCTGCTTCTGCCGAAGCGACGCTCGACTCGATGCCGCCCAAGATGGATGCCATCGGCCTTCCAGGCGACGCAGGCCCAGACTCTTCTTCGCAGCAGCAATCGGCCGAGGCCGAAGTCGCGCCGCACCCGCCGTTTGCGTGCGATGCGGCCGCCGTGGCCGATCTGGGGAGCTACATTGTCCAGAGGTCGGCGGCGTTCAACATCGAGCAGCTCGAGCAGCTGCGCGCCGCGTGCTTTGACCGCGTCTGGGCGCGCCGTTCGGACTGGGACCGCGGCCGCCTGGTCGTCGAGCTGCGCGCGCTCATCGACGAGGTCTCGGATGCTGTCGACGACGAGCTGCGGGATCGCACGAGGGACGACGACGAGGCCGCCGATGGCGTCGTCGAGTAGCGCGGGCGGGCGCCAGGTCCCCCCTCTTTTCCTGCATCGACGGCGATGACGACGCCGATGAGGCGGCGCGGTCTTCATCGACCATTCCTGCTGCGCCCCTTCCTAGGCCCTCTGCTGCTGTCATCGTTCCGCTCGGCCGCGTCTTTACCTGCCCACGCTGCCCACGGCTCTGCTCGAGCTGCCTCGCGGGCACGGCGTCGAGCATAGAACCAGTCGTAGCGTTCGCTTGCCACTCTACTCCACAATCGACTGACCGACCGACCGACTCACCGACCGACCGACCGGCGATCCGACCAGACCGACGGGAACTGCCCAGAACGACACGCAAGGAGACCGGGGGCATCCGTTCCGTTCAGATTTCGAAGCGCGTGCCAAAGTGGGCAAAGAGGAGACGAGGGCCAGAAAACAGAGCTGCAGTGGGGGGCGATACCTTCCTTGGCCCTCCGGCGGACGGCGGCGGCCGGCGGCGGCCGCGGTCGTGGCAGACGCCGACGTGTCTAGGGGTTCTCGTTCCATCCCTTGGCGCGCTCGACGGCGCGCTCCCAGCCGTGGAGCAGCTCGGCGCGGCGCTTGTCGTCGATCCGCGGCGAAAACGTCTGCTTGCCTGCCGTGTTGACCTTGGCCAGCGTCTCGGGCCGGTTAATGTCCCAGCCAAACAGGCCCACGGCCGAACCGGCCAGGAGCGCCGAGCCCAACGCCGTCGACCTGTCGTGGCACGAGGCGCGCAGCAGGCGAGGGGAACGCGGTCAGCACGAAACCCTAGCGAGCGCACAAAGGGCGGGCAGACATGAGGGGCAGCGCCGCCAGGCGGGACGGGACACTCACTCTCGCATCTCGGGTCGCTCGACGTTGATGCCGAGGATGTCGGCCTGGATCTGCATCGCCTCGTCGGAGCTGCGCGGGCAGGCGACCACACAAGAAGAACGAGAGGGCGGATGTCAGCATGCCCGCCATAATATCCTCGCTGCTGACGCGCACCCAGCGCCTTGGGGTCAAACTCACTTGGTCAGGCCTCCGTCGACTTGGAGCGCCTTGAGCGCCACGCCCGAGTCCTTGGCCATGGCATCGAGGATAGCCTTGGTCTGGTAGCACGTCGCCTCGAGCGTGGCACGGCAAAAGTGGCGCTTGTCGGTGTACGCCGTGATGCCCTGCGGAAATCGAGGCGCAGAGGGTGGCAGAGAGGAAGAGCGCACTCAGAGCGGGGAGTGGCGTCAGTCGTCGGCAGTCGGTCGTCTCCATCTCGCCCATCCTCCGGCGCGGCGCGGCAGCCACTCACCACGACGGTGCCTGCGGCCGTGTCGTCCCAGTAGGGGCAGAAGAGGCCGTTGAAGGCCGTGACAAAGTAGACTCCTCCGGTGTCTTCGACCTGGCCGGCCAGCTCGCCAATCTCGGACGCGTCCTTGATCAGGCCGAGGCTGTCGCGGACCCACTTGACGGCCGAGCCGGCGACGGCAATCGAGCCCTCGAGGGCGTAGTGGACCGGCGCATTGGGGCCCGCCTTGTAGGCAATGGTCGAGAGCAGGCCGTTGTCCGAAGACACGACCTTTTCGCCCGTGTTGTACAGCAGGAAGGCGCCGGTGCCGTAGGTGTTCTTGGCCTCGCCGGGCTGGAAGCACTTGTTGCCGACCAGGGCGGCCATCTGGTCACCGACGATGCCGGCGATCTCGATGCCCTTGAGCGTGCCCTCTGCGACCTTGCCGTACACCTCCGACGAGCTCTTGATCTGCGGCAGGATGTCCATGTCGATGCCGAAGAAGTCGCACAGCTTCGGGCACCACTCCTGCTTCTTGAGGTCCATGAACATGGTCCTCGAGGCGTTGGAGGCGTCGGTGATGTGCACCGCCTTGTTGGTCAGGTTCTGCGCCGGTCGCAAGGGCGGACGGGCAGGCAGACCACAGCGAATCCAGAAGCAGTCAGCATTCCGCTGTCAGCCACAGCCCAAACCACCACTGCAAATGTCCGCCATCTCCTTTCATCCCTTCCCTCCGCCGCCGCCGCCGCTGCTTCTGCCACATTCGACTCACGTAGACGATCCAGCTGTCGACGGTTCCAAAGAGGAGCTGCTTCTCATCGTGGGCCTTGCGGACCTCGGGGATGTTGTCGAGCATCCATCGCAGCTTGGTCGACGCGAAATATGTCGCTGCGGGGCGGGCAAGAAGGCAGAGGAGCGGAAAGGCGGTCAGCAGGGCGTCTTACAAGCTTGCCCCCCGTCGTGGTCCTTCCATTCCGCTGCTACCGGATCCGCCTGCTTCGCACTGCGCCTGCGCTTGCGACTTGGCCGTCACCACTTCGAGCTCTTTCCCGTCCTCTCTCTCCGCCTCGCCCTCGGCCTCGGCCTCAGCCCATTTCTGCGACTTACAAAGAGGCAGGCCGGTCTGCTCCTTGACGGCGTCGGTGCCCTTGTCGCTCTTTGCCGCGAGCTCTCGGATGGTGTGGGTGGTCCTGGCGTCGGGCCAGGCAATGGCGCGGGTGAGGGCCTTTCCCGTGTTGCGGTCCCAGACGACGGTGGTCTCGCGCTGGTTGGTGACGCCAATGACCTTGACGTCGGCCTTTGTGTGCTCTCCGCCCTTTTCGAGCTCGGCAATGGCGCCGTCGATGCACTTGTGGACGGCGTCCATGATCTCGTGGGCATCCTGCTCCTGCCAGCCCGGGTGCGGGTAGAACTGGGTGAACTCGAGCTGGTGCGAGGCCTTGACCCTGGCAAACTCGTCAAAGATCATGAAGCGGACCGAGGTGGTGCCGGCATCGATGCTTCCGACGAGATCCGGCATGGTGGGCAGATTGGCGGGGGCGGTTAGACGGGCAAGAGAGGGAGGGGAAGAGGAGGGAGGGATGGAGGGTGCTCTAGCGGGGGTGAAGCGTCTCTTGTCGCTGGATCGAGATGGTGCAAGACGGAGCAGGGGCGAGGGCGATGCGGGGAGGGAAGCGGGCTCAGTCTGACGAAGGGCGGGGGAGATGGTGGTGGGGAAAGACGAAGGGGGGGAGCGCGCAAAGGGGCCGGTCAAGAAGAGGCAGCGCAGAGCACGGGGGAAGGAGGACGAGGGCACACCGGAGTGGGGCCAAGCAGGCAGGCCCAGGCGGCCAGACCAGGCCAGGCCATCGCGAGCGCGAGCGCGGAGAGAGGGCAGGCCTGGCCTCTCGCAGCGCAGCCAGGTCAGAAGGTCGCTCACAGCCCGTCTGCCTCTTCAAAGCGACTGCCTTCCTGGCCCGATACGGGGGTCTGGCTGGCCCGTTGATGCACCATGCTACTACTACTGCTGCTGCTGCTGCTGCTGCCCACGCGAGTAGCGCCTCTCCGCCTGCTCGTGGCCCGAAGCGCGACGACGACGACGGCGACACGGCTCGGAAGAGGCAGCAGGCAGACGAGAAGAAAAACCCGGGCAGGCAGCCAACGACGGGATGGCCAGAGCGCCGAGCCCGGCGTGGGCAGCCAGCCAGGCAGGCAGCCGCCACGATGACGAGCCGAGGCGTAGCGTGGGCACCATCCAGGCCAGGCCAGGCCAGGCCAGGGCAGGCCAGGGCAGGACGCCAGCAACGAGCGAGGGAGCGAGCCAGGCAGAGGGACGAGCGCAAACAGCGGGACACCACGCCCGCCTACCAGCCAGCCGGCAGCCAACCAACGCAGCAAGCGAAGCCAGATGTCACGCCTCGATCGGCGGCCCGTCCCGAGGGCAGAGCAGGGTCGGCCAGCTTCCGGCCGCGACGACGGGTACCCTTGCCAGCCGTTCGGTCGGTCGGTCGGGGCCTCTCTGGCAGCACAGCGGGCGCCAAGCCATCCAGAGCGACCAGCAGGTGAGCAGCAGGCGGCGGTCGACGGCGCCCGGCTCGAGGTGCCGATCCCGGCTGCAGCATGTCGTCGTCGTCGTCTGCGCCCTCGCCAGTCTCGCCGCCGTACATCGCCTCCCGCTGCCGTGCCTAGGCCAGGTGCGTGCGCTTGCTTGCCATCCGCCAACCAAGCAACCAACCACGACGTTGCGCTGCGCAGCTGTCTCGGACTCGAGCGCGAAACCTGGCCACCCGGCTATTCCTCGTGCCTGCCTAGCCTGCCCGCCGTTGTGGCCGGCAGCATAGCGGCGTGCGTGCGTGCGTATGTCCGTCGTCGACGGCCAGATGCCAAGCAGCCCTGGCCTACCTGCCTCCGCCTGAAAGCCTTGGCCTGGCCTGGCCTGGCCTGCACGCGGCTTTTTCTTTCACCCTCGTAGCCGGCCTCACGGCCCTCATTGGACCGCCAAGGCAGGCATCTGGTGAGCCAGGCCAGGGCACCGCATCTCGGCGCTGCCGTCGTCGAGCCCATCCGTCGAGAAGCTGGAGGGGCCCCACCCTGACCCGCGACTTTCCGACCTCTTCCCCGCCCCTTTTCGAGGCCCACCGTCTCGCTCAGAGCCGCGTACGAGGGTGGGGACGGATGGCACGCCGTCGCTGCGCTGCGCTGCTTGTGCGTGGGCGGGCGGACGGGGCATGGCCCATGACGCACCCACGCACACGCACGCTCGGAAAACGCAACGCAGGCACGGCGTCTTTTTTCCCCTGCCGGCCTGCTGGGTCCGGCGCCAAAAAGGTACAGCCGGCAGACAGGCCATAGCCTAGCCTCCTCCTCGCCCTGCCTTCTCACGCAACTTCCACGCACCTCGAGGGCGCTCTTGCTTTTGCGCCTGGCCTGGCCTGGCCTGGCCGCCGCAAAGGCGAGCAGCCACGCCAGGGCGAAAAAGCCGGGCCTCCTGCCTCGCCCTTCCAGAGAAGGCCAACGTACCGGGCCAGCGCTTCGGAGGGCCCGACCCAAGCTAAGGAAATCCTCCGCCCCACCGCGGCCGGCAAACGGGTCCTGAACGCAGCCCGGCGCCGGCCACGCTCGCTCGCACGGCCATGCTTGCTTGCTTGCTTGCTTGCTTGCTTGGGGCCCGTCCTTGGGCTCGCCGCTCGTGGTGGCCAGGACTGGCCTGGGCATGGGTCGCAACCACGCGCGGCGCCCGTTCCGTGCTCGCCTGCCTCGGCGGCGTCAAAGGCCGACGTACGACGGCTCGAGGACGACCACGAGGAGCTGTCGAGGCCGGCGGATCGATCTGTTGCAGCCAGCCAGGCCAGCCGTCGAGAGCCGGCCAGGTGGATCGGATGCGCTGCCACGCCTTTTTGGAACCGGGCCAGCCCAGCAGGCCACCGCGCACGAGCTGGCTGGCCATGCTGGGCCCCCCCGCGTGCCTCGGCGTGGGTCCCCACAGATGGACTCACACAGCGGACAGCCGACAGCGCCTGACCCCAGCCGCTCCCCACCTTTACCCCGAGGAGGCGGCGGGCGCACTGCGGAGGCGCTTGCTTCGAGATTCGCGAAGGTCACCCGTATGTGCAGGCGGCCCAGCTCACGGCCGGCCATCAGGGTGGGGATGCAGCCACGGCTCGATCGTGCGAAAAATTGGCGAAAGTCGAAAACCCTCCCAACCTTCGGGAGGCGGGCGAGCGGGCGAGCGGGCCAGGCGAGGCCTCCGGCCAGAAAAAAGTTGGCGGATGCTCTGAGGACGGGACTCGGCCGCCGCTCGCTCCCTCGCTCGCCTTTGCTTTCTTCCTGCTGCCTCCTCGCCTCCCTCCACCACCATCAGCCAACGCTCCCCGTCCACCCGCAGCCGCAGCATCTCTCGCGCGCTGTACCGACTTCGTCAGGCGCCACTCCAAGCGCAGCAGGCTTTCGGCCCCGCACTCGTCTGTGCCTCGTACGCCGACGGTCCGACGCACGCCTCGCTTGTCCGCCCCCGGTCGAACTCTTTCGGCCCGCCCAGCTCGGCCCGCCATCGCCTAGCGGGCGCCTTCCTCGGCAGAACACCCATATCTCGTCGCCATGCTCTTCTGTCCGACGTGCGCCAACTGCCTGGTCATCTCGCACGATGACTCTGGCTCGAACAAGTGGGCGTGCAACACCTGCCCGTACGAGTTCCCAATCTATCGCCAGATGACGACGCGGCAGCACCTCAAGCGCAAAGAGGTCGACGATGTCATGGGCGGCGAGGAGAGCTGGAAGAACGTAGACAGCACCGACGGTGAGTCTCCGCGCTCGTCGCATCGCATCTCGTCAGCCCCGGTTTCAGGCAGGAGTGCAAGAGTGCAAGAAGAGCAAGAGGACTGACCCTGCGACCGCCCACCCCTGCTTTCCGCTTGATCTGCGACAGCGCCATGCCCCAAGTGCGAGAACCCAAAGGCCTTCTTCATGCAGCTCCAGATCAGAAGCGCAGACGAGCCGAGTGAGTCGTCCACCCGGCCGCAGCACGGAAGTACCGTGGACTCGGGAGCTAACGTTTAGGCTCCCCTCGCTGCGACTCTCCTCTCGCCAGTGACCACCTTCTACCGCTGCACCAACGCAAAGTGCGCCTACCAGTGGAAGGAGAACTAGGTCGCGCCCGCGCTTGGTCCTTCAATCAGCCGCCCACCTCATTGCATTCCTTGTACTTGTATCCTGGCCCTCTCCCTTTCTCTCTGCACTCCAGCATACCACCTTCTCTCTCACCGCACGTCATCGCATCAGCCAGGCGGCGCAGCAAGGCCAGGTTCTGATTATAGCGGCAGACGGTACGTGGTACAGGGCGGTGTCCATGACGCAGTCGTTGCGTTTCGTTCCATTACAGGTCCATCTCCGGCGCCGGCCTTGGCCAACTCAACACAGCAGCCCTCGTCCATAACGCTGCCTTGCGCCTCACTTGGCTCTATCCTCGCTTCCAGGAGCTTCAAGCCAATCCCGACATGGAGATGGCATCACACGAGCACGAGCGCCTCTCTCTGCTATTGCCGCTTCCGGAGGTCCGCCGAAGCGTGGCCGTTGGACGTGGTCGCAGCAGCGGCGGAGGTGGCAGCGCCGTTGGCAGCTTGCTTGGCACTGGCCGCCCTCTTGCCCTTTGCCGAGCGGTCGAGATAGGACCGCATGAAGAAGCGGAAGAAGAGGGCGAGCAGCGGCTGCGGGGTCGAGAAGGGCAAGAAGGGGAGAGGACGACGTCAGCCTCTGCCACGGGTATCGCCTCGGCCCCTCAAGGTGAGTCGACGGCAACGGCCACTCACAAACATGTAGGCCGTGTTGACGTTGAGGGCGATCTCTGCCCCCGTCGTCTGGAGACAGCTCGAGGGGTCGCTGGTGTCGGTGCGTGCGAGCGCGTAGTCGACGAGGTTGCGCGACGGTGCGCGCGAGCTGGCGGCGACGGCGGGCAACGACGAGCGGACGCCGCGGTCGAGGAGGCCGCGGGCGACGAGCGACGGGTCGAGGACGGTGACGAGGTAGAGGTTGGTGAGGAGCGTGCCCGACGCGATCTGGGCAATCTGGAGCGTGGTGAGGTTGCGCTTGAGCGTCTTGGGGAAGGGCCAGTGCATGGCCGAGCAGAAGTAGTAGGTGTACATCAACGTGTGCACGAAGCTGTTGAAGACGCAGAAGACTGCGCGCGGCCAAGGGCAAAGGGCATGGGGCGAAGGGCGTAGGAAGAGGGCAAGGTGAGTAGGCGAGATCAGGGCGGGGCACGGCGTCGCCGTTTCCTTTGTCACTTACCCCAGACCGGCTGGCTCTGGTAGCGGTAGGCGATCCACATGCAGATGATGGCACCGGCGTGGTGGTAGGATTGCAGGTTCGAGATCTGCCAGGCGGATAGAGCGGGGGCGGGAGGGGGGGGGGGGGCGGGGTCGTCAGGATGCAGCATCGATATCGCCTCCCGGCAAAAGGGGGAAGACGACGACATCTGCGCTCCTCGACGCACCTTTTTGCCCTTGAGGAGGAGGATGAGCGAGTCGACGACCTCGTAGTACTTGCTGAGGTAGAAGAGGTAGGCGTACCTGCCGAGGTCGGGGTGGTTGGTGGGCATGGAGCAGAGGGCGAGTTTGACGCCCTCGAAGCGCGCGCCGCGCCAGCCCTGGACGAAGAAGTCGACGACGAGCGGGGCCATCATGGCGAAGGTCCAGGCGCTGTAGGCTGCGAGGACGGCATTGTGGATGGGGATCAGGAGGCGGAGCGCGGCGGCGAGCGGGGAGGGGCCCTTGGAGAGGTCGCGGCCGCCGTTGCGGACGACGAGGCGGTTGGCGGCGTGCGAGACGAGGTAGTAGGCCAGCGAGAAGCCGAGCGGCCAGACTGGGTCGAGCGACGACGTGTAGAAGTCGCGCGAGATGAGGCGCGAAAAGGAAGGGTAGGACGGGTAGGGCGGTAGCGGCGCCGAGAGGAGGTCAGAGGCAGAGGCGCCTAGAGCGTCGAGCGGGTAGGGGGTCGTCTTGAACCCCACAATGGTCGACATGGTTGGGCGCGGGGTGAGCGGACGGGGTCGAGCGGCGCGGCCCAGAGGAAGGATGAGGAGCGGTGATGGCGGTAGTGGTGGCGGTAGTGGTGGTGGCAGTGGTGGTGGAGCAGAGAGGAGGGGGGGGGGGGGGGGGGGGGCGGGACGGAGGTGGCAGAAGACGAGGAAAGCAGCGCCGACGGTCGCGCTACATACGGCGTCCCAGGACCCTCGAGTCGAGCGAGCGAGATCTTGCGCAGGAGGCGTCAGTCAGCTCATCGATTGGTTCCAGCATCTCTCTCCCTCTCCCTCTCTCTTTCGCTCGCTCGCATCGCAGCGGCTGCCTCATCCCAAAGCACGGGTGCAGCGACTTCTCCGGGCCCTTTTGACGCGTCCGCGCACCGCTGTCGCAAGCCGAGATGCCGTGGGCCCAGAGGCGGAACCACGGTTCCCGGCCAGCCTTAGCTTGCCCCTGGCCTTGCCGCTGCGAGAAGATCGGATCAGATGAGAAGAAGCAAGCAAAGCAAAGCAAAGAGCGAGGGGACCCTGCCGAAACACGACCGGGGGGCCAGGCTGGGCCAGGCGAGCCATTATTGTTTCCCGGCTTCCGTAAAGATGCATTCCATCGCTCATGCAGGCGCTGGGAACCTCGCCTGGCCCTCGCCTTGGCCCTGGCCCTGCGCTGTTGGCCGGCGTTTGTTGATCTTGCTTCGGCCCGCAGGCCTGGCCGCCGCTGATCCTCACGCGATGTTGGCCAGGCCAGGCCAACAGAGGCCTGCGTCTCCGGGGGACCTTCTCGCGTCCGTGCGCGGCGGCAGGCGGCAATTGCGGTTGAGAGAGACCCTGGCGGGTCCATGCGCCCTGCTTGCCTCTGGCCTGCCTTGCTTACTGCTCTTTGTGGGTCGCTCTGTCGCTGCTCCTCGGTCGGCTTCCCCTCCACCATTCACGCACACACCATCCAAGCTCGAGGCCAGTAGTCAGGCGGCTCGTCGACATCGAGATCCAAGCGCGCCTGTCCGCACAACCATCAAGGCACACCCAAGGCTCGGCTGGACCTGGCTCGACGGCGCAGAGCAGCGGCGGCGGCGGCGCGGCAACGCATAGAAAGGCAACGACTCGGCCCGATCCCGGCCATCGGCTTCCCCTCTTTCCCGGCCGCCGAATTCCTCGGCCCCCACGCTCGACCTCGACGACATCTGCTTGCCACCACCACCTCGTCACCGCTCTTCGACAAGGTTTTGCTCGCAACAATCATGCCAGGCTAGAGTTTGGATATCGTCGACCCTGCACCGTACCCTTTGCTGCTTCCTCTCCATCGGCCCATCAAGCCTGCAGGGCACGCCGCGTGCAGGCCCACCGGACCTTGTTTCGTCCCCGCCAGCACCCGTCCGTCCGCCATGTGCGTCTTCTTCTGGTCCATCGACCAGCCTGGCTTTGACCTGTGAGCTTCCACCGTACGACGCACCGGAAGAGGGAGGGATTCGAGCTCTCTTGATGCGAAGCTGACACTCCACCCTGCCTGCCTTGCCTGGCTTTCAACAACCCCTGCCCTTCGCCACCAGCGTCATCGCCAGCAACCGGGACGAGTTCCTCGCGCGCGGGACGGTCCCCGCAGTGTGGCACCGCTTCGGGCCGATCCCTGACGACGAGACATCGCCTCCCTCTGTGGCTACGGGACCGACCGACGAGCGGCCCATCCTCAGCGCCAGGGACGAGCAGAGCGGCGGAACGTGGCTCGGCATCACCCGCGACGGCTCCTTTGCCACGCTCACCAACTTTACCGAACCACCGCCTCCGCCGCCGCCCGGCCCGCACGGCTTTCAGAGCAGAGGCAACCTGGTCCGCGACTGGCTCCTCCGTGCCAGCGACACCGACACCGACACCGACACCGCCACGACGGCGCGGCCATCCTCGGCCGCGCAGGACCGCCAGGCCATCGTCGACTACCTCGGCGACGGCGTCGGGTCCCGGCTGGACCAGTTCCCCGGCTTCAACCTCGTCGTCGGCTCCTCGCGCCCGGACCGCACCAGCATCGGCTACACGACCAACCGCACGCCCACGGGCCACCTGGCCGCCCACCGCCAGCCCGACTTTTTCAGCAGCCCTAGCTCGCACCACGACGTGGGCGATCCCGTCGTCGTGACGGGCAACACGCTCACGCACGCCCGCGCTTCGTGCCCCGCGGTGGTGGCGCGCGGACTGAGCAACAGCACCCTCGAGCATCCCTGGTCCAAGGTCGACCAGGGCGTAGAGCTCTTTGACAAGGCGATGCAGAGGTACACAGGCTCTGCCGGCCAGGGCTCTGGACCTGGCCGGCACCAAGCAGCAGAGGATGCGCTCATCGAGGACCTCTTCGATCTGCTGTGGTGAGTTTGCGTCTGCACTTGAGGTCAGTGGCAGTGGACACCCCGGGTGTCCTGACACACGAGAGCTGAAGCTGTCCCCACCATGACCTGCCCCTCGTGCAACAGGACGAGCTCGGACCCGCCACCGCAGCGCAAAGAGGATCTGCGCAGATCGCTCCTCATCTCCCCGCTCAAGGTCGACGGGCTGGGATGGTACGCGACGAGGACGTCGACCGTCGTCCTGATACGCAAGGCTCCCGCAGCCGCCGCGGCCGACGCAGATGGCGTCGCCGGCCGCCGTCGGGCCACTTTCGTGGAACGCGACGTCTTTGAGCTGGACCAGGATGCGGGTCAGCCCGTGAGGCGCTGCGGCGGGACGGGCTCGACGAGACAGGCTGGGCAGAGGAGGTATTCTTGGACTCTTGACTAGACGACATCAGGGAGGAACCTCCCGCGGGTGCTATTATAAAGGTTGACTTGTCGACGACGAGACGATGGTGGCTCTGTGTTGGGAAGCTGCCCTCCTCGACCAGTGAGGCTCGCGAATTTTTTTCGCAATCCCGGCCAGGATTGCGGTTTTGAGCCCGAGGACGATGCGTTTTCGCAATCCGTAACAGGATTGCGGTTTTGAGGTGGTCGACCCTTCGTTTTTCGCAATCCCTGACAGGATTGCGGTTTTGAGGCGGCAGGAGCTCGAAAATCGCAATCCCTGGCGATTTCCGCAATCCTCGCGCCGCCGCGCGGAGGACAGGTCCGTCCGTGTCGATTCGGAGGCAGTTTGAGCTTAGCTCAGTTCGCTGCGCTTCGACAGGCCAGGCAGAAGGCACGGGCGACTGCTCGTTGCTGGCTTGCTCGGGGCGCGATGGAGCGGCTCGGCGCGGCTCGGCGCGGTCGCGAGGCCAGGCTTGGATTGGCAGGCGGAGCGATGAGGCGCGGATATGGTCTGCGCAGCGCAGGACAGAGCAGATTGAATCTGGACCGAGCAGGCGCGGCTCATATGAAGCTCAGGTCGAGGCGAGCAGCGCAGACCGAGTCTGCGGCGCCGTGCAGTCGTATCTGGCTGGGCCTTTCGGGGCGCCGCTTGGACGCGCGCAGGCAGAGCATGGTGTCCGCTCGGTCGCGGAGGCGGTCTCCTCGTGGGGTCGGAGCAGGGGAGTGCAGGGTGTAGTTGCCGCACACTCTTCAAAGCGGCCACAGAGCTGAGGCGGGGCGTCTTGAGCATGCAGACAGAACAGGGCAGCAGACCACGGCCAGAGCGGGCCGGTCGCAGGCATGCCACCTCATACGGCTAGCAAAGGTATTTAATGGCCAGCTCTCTTGCCCAGCGGCGCCTTGTCTGCCCCTCGCTGTCAGACCAAAGTCAAGACTGCCCACCTACACCTGCCTGCAGCGCAACCTGCCCAATGGTGCGACAAGTTTTCTCCCCGGGCGCGGAGTACAGCGACGCAAGAGCTGTCGAGAATGTGAGTGAACAGACAGATAGTTTCGGATGCGCCACACCTAGGCTGGGTGCATTTGGGCTCGAAGGTGCTGCGCTGCGCTGCTGGTTGCGTCGTCACGACGTCGGCGGTAGCGGTCGGGGGCTAGGAGCGTGCGTGCGGCGTGTCACCTCGCGACGCGCCGTTCTGGCGGCGGGCGCGGCGGCGACGGCGCAGGCTCGAGACTCGCCTGCCCGCCTGCCCGCGGCCTGGCCCCGCTGCTTTGGATCTTGGCTCTTGGAAATTTGGGCTCGTGGCTCCGCCGCGCACCTGCTGCCTGGCAGGCCTGGGCCAAGCCGCCGTGTGGAGAGGGGGCATGCGCGGCAGCAACCTTGGTTGGATCTTCGACATGAGCCAGACACAGCGGCCCTCGACGCAACGCCAGGGTGCCTCGAACCCTAACCTCGCCAACGCCACCACCACCACCACCACCACCACCACCACCGCCGTCGCCACCGACACTGCACTCACCGCATACCCCTACCTCGACACACGCTCCCACGTCGACTTGCTTGGAATTCGGACGGACTGCACGCACGCACGCACCCTCTTGAGCCGCGCTCGCTTCATCTTTGCCGCCGCCGCCGCCTCCACTCCGAAACGACTCTGGCTGGCCGATCAACAAGTGCAACCGCATCGCATCGTCGCATCTGCCTCGACCACACCCTCTCTTCCTTCACCCGCCTCGCCACTCGCCGCTCGCCGCTCGCCACCTGCTCTTCGCTTTCCACTACGCCCTTTCTCGCTCGACGCATTGCCTTCTTGTGCTCACGCCGCCGCTCGTCGCCTTCCGCTCCCTCTGCCCGTGTCTGCGGGCTCGTGCTCTTCCACCATGTCGTTGCCCTGAGTTTCGTCCTCACCCCATCCCATCTCACCCATTCGCTCCCCCTCCTTGACCCTTCCTCGCACACCCCTCGCCGCCTCTCTTGCAGACGCAACCCTCGGCGGCACCGAGTTCAGCAGCATCGCCCCCGGTCCCGGTCTCGACCTCGGCCCCGGCCCCGGCACCGCGCCGCTATCCTTGCCGTTCGTCACCGTCCGCCCCCATGTCGCACAGGCGTACGGCATCGCCCATCAGCTCCGACCACAGCCGCGACAGCCGGGTGGGCGGCAGCCGCCCTTGGCCGCGAGATGGTGGCGGTGCTCGCCATGACCGCCGCGCCTCTCAGGATCCTGCACGCCGCCCCGCGACCCTGGCGAATGCGCATTCAGGCGGCCCACCGGCAACAAACAGGACGATGCCCGGCACCATCAGCAGCAAAAGCAGCAGCAGCAGCGGTAGCGCCGGCTCGAGCGCCGTTCGCCGCGAGCTTGTCGCCAGCGGCAGCCATGCCAGGTCCAACAGCTTGGATGCGAGTCTGAAGCTCGACCCTGACGCCTCTCGCGAGCTCTTCAAGGCCCTTAGCGTGTTCTTTAGGCGCCAAGACGAGGGCCGGCAGCTCGAGGAGAAGCTCAAGACCGCAAAGGAGTGGATGCGCAAGAATCCGGGCAGGTCCGACTACGACGAAAAGCTGCGCAAGATGGAGGACGATCTCAGTCGCCTGGTCGACGCCGCCAAAGAGGCAGAGAGCGCCGCCAGCGAGGCCCTCGAAAAGCTCATCTCGAGCGCCGTCGGCAGCCTGGGCGACCGCATGCAGGCCGTGGTCGATGCCTTGTGCAGCGCCTCCGACGGCAACCAGGCGGAACTAAAGAGGATCATGGACGGCCTGCAGGGCGCCTGCAAGACGAGCGACCACGCCGTCACCGAGATCGGCAGACTGCGAGATATCATGGCGCGCGAGAAGGTGGTGCAGACAGCAGAGCAGAATGCAGTGGTGGCCCGTCTGCGCGACCTCGAGGCGCTGAACCTCAACTCACGCCTAAGGGACCTAGAGCGTGCTGCCGAGGTCCGATCGGCCGCGCCCCCGCCGCTGCCGTCTTCCACCTTGGGGAAGCAAGAAAGCGAGTTGGTCCAGAGGCTCAAGGCGCAGGTCGAGGAGCTGGCATCCAGAAACGCCCGGCTGGAGGAGACGACCTCTGCCCGGATCGCGAGCCTCGAGGCGACGAACTCTGCACAAACCGCCATGTTTGCAGAAAGGCTGGCGGCCCTCGAGAGCCGGATCGCGCCCGGCACTGCGGCGGCATCGGCCGTGCCTCCCGGACCCTCGCCCCCGCAGCCTGCCAGAACCGTTCCGTCGAACGAGGCGCCGCCGCCACCGCCTCCTTCGCAGCCGCCGCCGCCGCTCCCGTCGCAGCCACCCCCGCCATCGACCCCGGCTGCCGTTGAGCCTGACTTCTCCGGCGCTCAAGACCAGACCACCTCCGGAGCTGACGCAGCTGGAGGACCTGCGCGCACAGCCGACGTCCAGGAGGGTGCCGAAGGCGCGAGGCCACTGCCGAACAAGAGGTCGAGGGCAAGGGAGGTGTTGGATGGTCTGGAACGGCGGCAAAGGACCATCGAGGAGGAAGTGCAGGTGCTGCAGGACCGGCTGGACTCTATCGAGGGAGAGGTGATCCCGAGCGCCATCTCGCACCAGCAGGAAGAGGTGAAGGCACAGTTGCAGGAGCAGTTGCAGGAGCAGTTGCCGGAAGCCATCGAGGACTTCTGCGAGACGAAGAGGCAGGAGAGGCGCAAGCGACGGCGGATCGACCAGGAGGCCGCTATCGAAGGGGAAGGTGGACCGGCGCCTCGGCCGGAAGCCAACGCAGCCGCAGCCGTAGCCGCAGATGCAGACGGGGACGCGGATATGGCAGATGCTCCAACCAAGGACGCGGAGGCGGCATTGGGCTCGTCGAAAGAAGGGCCTGCAGCGCCTGCTGCGAAAGCCTCGGCGCCCGGAGCGGCGTCGGAGGGCAAGGCCATCGACCCGAGCTTCAAGCATCTCGAAATCCGGCCGGCGATGATCGAGCAGGCTTGCTCCGCGGCGCTGGCCCACATCAAGCAGCAGGCGACGTCGGACCAAGCGCTGGCCGACCTGACGCCGCGGATCCTCGCCGACGTCATGCCAAAGGTCAAGGTCGAGCTCCAGGCGCAGCTGGCGACACACCTGGCTGACCTCGTCGGACGCGCCGAGATGCTCGAGGCGATCAAGTCGGAGGTGGGCGATCTGCCGACCCAGGTCGAGGCCAGCCTGCTGGCGAGCATCGAGCAGCGCTTCGACCAGCTCATCTTTCGGCCCGAGACCGTCACGCAGCTCGTGGAACGCCTGCGACAGACCGGCACCGCCATCACGGCCGACGTCGACGCCCGGCTGTCCGCCATGAACGAGACGCTCCGCGGCGCCCACATCGGCTTCCGCGACAAGGTCAAGGAGAAGCTGATGGCGTTCGAGGCCCGGCTGACCAAGGTCGACGAGAAGCTGTCGGCGTTCGAGGCCCAACTGGCCAAGGAGGCGAAGCGGATAGGCCGCCTCGACATGCAGGCCTCGACGCAGGCGGCGCTGTTCGCAAAGTTCATCCAGGAGGTCGACCCCTATCTCGCCCACGGTCCGGAGGTGCTCGACCGGGTCGTCCTGGGCGTTCATCAGGCCGCCAACAACGCCGCCGCGGCCACAGCGGCGTCGAACGCAGGCCAACCGCAGCAGCAGCAGCCCCGGCCTCAGCAGCTGTCTCGACCTCCGCAGCCTCAAACCCGACCCCCGCAGCCTCAACCCCGACCTCCGCAGCAGATGCAAGCGTCGCCGAGGCCGCCGCAGCAGTCACCGCCACAGCACCCGCGGCCGCCGCAGTCGCTCTCTCCGCAGCAGCAGCAGCAGCAGCAGCAGCAGCAGCAGCAGCAGCAGCAGCAGCAGCAGCAGCAGCAGCAGCAGCAGCAGCAGCAGCAGCAGCAGCAAGATATCTACTTGCAAATCCGCCGGCAGCAGATGCAGCAGCAAATCCAGCAGCAGATCAACAACATCAACCTCCAGTACCAGCAGCAACTGCGAGAGCACCAGGGCAACCCGCAGCAGCAGGCCCTCATCCAGGCCCGCCTGGCCCAGCAGATGCAGCGCCTGCAGGCCTTGCACGGCGGTCTGCCCTCTCCGCCGCAGGCTCACCGGCAGGCATCGCCGGGACTGCCGCTCGGTACCCTGACGCTCTCCAATGGCCGGCCGTCGCCCCTGGGCCTCGGCACCGTGCCGCTGCCACAAACCATCTCGCCGGTGGCCCTCTCGCCGCCTCCGCAGCACCAACAGCAGCAGCAGCAGGCCTCCCACGCGCATCCGCTGCCACAGCGGCCACCACAGCAGTTCCAGCGTCCGATCCCCAACCAGCACCAGCAACAGCACCAGCATTAGCATCAGGCCCAGCAGCCCCAGCAGCGCTAGTAGAGAGCGCGCGGCCCGGCCTCGCGCGTCGAAGCCCAGCCTGGCCTCTTTCAGATTCGTTTTGAGTTTCCTCGATACCCGCGGGGCATCGCGTCGGCGGCGGCAGCACGATGGGCCGTGGCGAGCCCAGCCGAGCCCGAGGACCTGCGCCTGCCTGAGCTCGCACTGCGCGGCTCGCGCGTCGACGACGGCTCGCCCGCCGATCAGGCCCGAGCAACAGACGACGCCGCTCGTGGCGGACACTTGGCCGTCCCTCGTACACGCTGCTGCTGCTGCTGCTGCCGCTGCTGCTGAAGTAGACTTTCTCGTTCCCCGATCGGCCATGTCTTCCTCCCCAAGAACCATCTGCCCGTGTCGAGGCAGTCCCCAGACCCATTGTAACCCTAGCAGCACCGAGGTCGCCACCGGGCTCCATCTCCTCGTCAGGCCGACGTCCGCGAATCATGATATCATTTTAACCGCTCGCACACTTCTGTCGCTTCGTGATCATCCTTGGCGGCATTTAGCTCGGGAAGACATCGAGGGAGGCGAAGGAGCAGCAAGACTGACCAGCCAGCTTCGAGAGGAGGTGCGAGATCGATGCTGGAATGGCGGGGCGGGAGGAGGAGGACAGGGGCTTGTTCCAGATCGGGCGGAAACGCGATCGGGTGAAAATGGACAGGGCCCTGCTGCCTGTCTGCCTGCAGGGAGGGCCAGTCGTCAAAAATTCCCACGGTCGCCCTGGGCGGAAATAGGCGCAGCGCCGGGCTCACATCAAGCCTCCTGGACGCGGGTCCGGGCTCTGCCCGAAATTCTCGAGACGAGGGCTCGGAGGCTGGCTGGGTCGGGCGCCGCTTGCCTGGGCTTGGCCGGCCTGGGCCTGGGCGAGCTGCTGGCGGCAGGGATTGGGCAGCGGAGCAGCGCGCAGCACCAGCGGCAGGCCGCAGAGAGAGGCAGCCAGCGCCAACGCCATCACGCTACCGTCCGTCCACCTTCCTACACCCTCTCGCCGACCCCCCCGCCCCCCGTCTCCTACCTCAAGACACATCCATATTCGCCCAACATGCCGAAGTGCGTATCCCAGCTCTCCAGCCACAGCTCCAGCCAATTCGCCACGCCTCCCAGCATCCGACACATCGCCCGCAGCGGTCGCTCTCGAATCGACTGGCGAGACTCTGGCGCTGCCTTGTCGCATCGCGATCGGATACGACGTCGTCCCCGCCGAATTGGGGTTATGGCCCACCCAGCTCACCAGCTGGAACGGAAGAAGGAGAGGAGGAGAAAAATTGCGCAACCCGAGCGCAGACGCAGGGAGAACGCTGGACGGAATGGTCGACTCTTTTGGACTGGAGGACGTATGCCAGTCACGCCGCCCCGCTGGGAGGCTGAACCGTTGCGGCCTCTTGCGGATACCCTCGGAAGAGCGACGCCGAGACGGCCGCAGCGGGTCGATCCCTCCTGGGCAGAGCGAGAGCGGCTCGGAAGTCGCACTCGGACAAAGGCCACGAAGGCAGCAGGAACGCCGCCCCCGCAGGCGGTCGGTGCAAAGAGGAGGAAGATGGCGGCGGCGAAATGACGACGTCGTACCGGCACGACGTGCAGAACGAAGCGTGAGCCCCACCCACTGCGCTGCGACAGGGAGCTGACCCTCGCTCCAACCTGGCCGCTGCTACCCTTTCCACCCCCCCACAGCGTTAGAGACGTCGACGCCGCCGCGTTCATCAACGCTTACGCCCAGCACCTTAAGCGCTCGGGTGAGTGTCGAAGCATCCCTTTCGACGATCCAGGCAATGTCTTCGACATCGGCAACGACAGCATCGGCAGCATCGGCAGCGACAAAGGGCGGCGATCTCAATTGTCATGACCATGAATGACTCGGGGCTGGTCAGAGGCTGGCGGATGGCCCTAATCTCGGGAGGAGGGATCTGGTCGGATCGCCTTTGACAGCGAGACCAGAGCGAAGGGCTCAGTTCGATCTGGCCGCCCCCAGACGGCAACGCACGACGAGGCCGTCGGGTCGCAGACCGGCCTCGCTGCATCCGACACGGCGCGATGTTATCGGCCTCTGTGTCCCGGCAGGACCCTCGCCATTGCCGACTTCGTTGGCTCGCGATGCCAGTTGAAGGAAGACTTCTGTCTGCGGACTGGGCCGACGACGGACGCATCTTTCGCCCTTCGCTCGCCTCTTGCTGCCGCTGCCGCTGCTGCCACTGCTGCCACTGCTGCCGGCGATCATCCTTACCGTCCCCGAGGCACCGACCCGCTGACACTGCACTTGCTTTTGCCCCTGTTGACCCCCTTCAGGCAAGATCGAGGTCCCGACCTGGGTCGACATTGTCAAGACGGGTGCCTACAAGGAGCAGGCCCCCTACGACCCTGACTGGTACTACGTCCGGGCCGCCGCTCTTGCGCGCCACATCTACCTGCGCAAGGCTGTCGGCATCGGTGCGCTCAAGAAGCTGCACGGTGGTGCCTCGAACCGCGGCTTCCGCCCTTCGCACCACGCCGACGCCTCGGGCTCGGTTCAGCGCAAGGTCGTCCAGGGCCTCGAGCAGATTGGCGTCCTCGAGAAGGACCCCAAGGGTGGCCGAAGGATCTCGCAGGATGGCCAGCGTGACCTCGACCGCATCGCCGTTGCCTGCCTCGAGTCGATGCGCGAGGAGGAGGACGAGGAGGAGGAGGACGAGGACGAGGAGGACGACGAGTAAGCTCGCCGCGCCACGGGGTCAATGAACATGAACACCCAAAAACGGAGCCGATCCGACGCCGCGGTGGCACCGCGAGGGAAAGGCGGTGGTGCGAGGAGACAGCGCCCAGGATAGACGACGAAGACGATGGCCCCGCGATCGGGGTCCGCGGACGGTGACCGGGAGGTCTTCGACCGCGTCCGACGCTTCCTCGACCGTCGTGTTTCGCCCTCGGCCCGGTCCCCTTCGACGCCACGCCCTCTATGCATGCAATCCCCCTCGCCGGCATCACTAGGTTCGGATCAGCCTCGGCCCCCCAGCTGTTTGCGTGATGTCGCCGTCGTCGTCGCCGTCGCCGTCGTCTTCCTTGTATTCTTTGTCTCTACTTGTCGCTTCCCTCTTTCCCCCCCTCGCTCCCCACCTCACGTCCACACGCGCTCACACGCACACACGCAAACCAGCACCCATCACGCATTGCCAAAAAACCACCCGCTCGAGGCACACGCCCACGCCCACGCACTCGTCTCTTATGCAACCCCCCTCGTCCGTCCGTCGGTCCGTACAGTACAGTATTAGCGGCGGCGGCGGTTGACGGGGGGCGACGACGTGCAACTTGGCAACCAGCGCAGCCGACTTCATGCTGGAAAGGCCTCCGCGCCCCTCGGGCAGACGGGCGAGAGTCGCCCCAGCTGTGCGTCGTAGGGTCGACCCGTTGGGACCTTTGGTCGCGCGTGCATGTTGCTTGCTCTGGGTCAACTGCCAGCGAGAAGGCCGACGTGGCCCCTCCGAAGCTCGCTGTCTCTCGTCGTCAACGAGTTCAGGCAACTAGGTCCCCAGAGGCAGAGAGAGAGACGGCGCAGACAGGCCGGGTGCGGGCTGCAGCCAAAAGATTTTTCCCCCCCCGTCGGCGGGCGGCCACGGCGGCGTGTGGAGAAGCCTGGCCAGGCGGGTTTGGCTGCGGGCCAGAAGAAAAAAAGTCGAGAGAGAGAGCGTCGTGGCGGCCCTCGTCCACGCTGCCAAGGCTTCCATCACACGCACCCCTCCCCCTAAATCTATCTGGCCTCTGCAGTCGAGTCCCGTCGACCGACCGACCGACCGACCACCACGGGCAGCGACACGTTATCGAAGCCGGCAGTGTCGATCTTGACGGATCCTTTCATGACCGCCTACCTCTGAACGCAGCTCGCAACGCCAGCGACCGACTCGACTCGCTCTCCTCCCTGCCCTCATCTTGCCGCAGCTCGGCCCGCAACCTCAGACATAGACGTATCCTCCAACCACATCCGCCAACACCCGATCCGCCCACCATGCAACCGCCAACACGAGTGCGGTACAACGCAAAGGCGCGCAAGTCGTCGGCCGGCGGCTCGTCGCACAAGCAGAAAAAGTCGTCCGGCTCCTCTTCCGCCGCCGCTGGGACTGCCGACTCAAACGTCGAGATCATCGTTCCGGGCAGCGAGGAGGACAAGCGACGCCTCGAGCAGGCGGCGCAGGAGCGTAAGCGGCGTGAGCTTCTCCTCCTCTCGGGCCAGGACGCCAATGCGCCCATGTCGTCCAAGAAGCGCAAGCGCCTCGACGCCTACATTGCCTCGCGCCTGAAAAAGGAGGAACGCGTACACCTCCTCGCCAAGCTGGCGGAATCGTCAAAGGAGGTCGACCGCGCCGAGCTCAAGAGCGCTGCCACGCTCGGAACGGGCAGGGCAAAGACGGGCCACGAGCGCATCGAGACGGCGGGCAAAAAGGAGTCGTACACCGGCACGCGCGGCAGGAAGAGGAGGAGGGCCATGCACCACGCCGAGGAGGACGATCTCGATGCCGATCTCGACCGGGACGGCCACGACGACAGCCACGACGACGACGAAGACGATGCGGACGCCTCCTTCTACAGCGTCCCCGACCGCTCGGCCGCCGATGCCGATGCCGACGCAGACGACGGAGGACCTGTCGGCGAGGTCGAGGAGGACGCGGGGAGAAGGGCCAGGATCATGGCCGCCGCCAGCCTCTTCAACAAGCCGTCCGCGGGGCCTTCATCGTCGAGCACCGCGCCTGCCGCCAGCACCACCGCGCCGCAGGTCGGCTCTGCGCTCGCCAAGGGCCCGGACGGCAAGCCCCTGGTGCCGCAGATCAAGACGCGGAAGCGCAACAAGAAGAAGCAGGTCGGCCACCTCCCCGGCAGCGGCACCAGCTGGGGCAAGAACGCTGCACCAGCCTCGGGTTCCAGGAACGGGCACGAGACCGACTCGAGTTTCGACAGCTCCGAGTCGTCTGGCGACGACGAGGAGCCCGCAAAGCCCGCAGCGTCCGCCAAGACTGTGCGGTGGGAGCAGGATGATTCCACAGACGAGAAGGGCGACGTCAAGATGGCCGGCGACGATAGTGAGGACGGCGAGGAAGAGGAAGAAGGCGAGGAAGAGGAAGAAGACGGGGACGAGGACATGGAGAGCGATAGCGACGAAGATGCCGTGCTCCTCGAGGCGATGAGGCTCCGAGGCCTGTTGCCCGACGGCCAACGGGCACCCAAGGCGGGCCCAAGCACAAGCTCGGATGCCCAAGGCAGCAAGGACGCTCCTGCATCGCCAACCTACGACGGTTTCCCAGCCGAGGGCGAGGAGGGCAGCGAGGACGACGAGGACAGCGATGACGACGAAGAGGCGAGCTGCTCCGAAGACGGTTCTGGCTCAGGCGAAGATTCCGAGGGCGACTCGGACGACGACTCTGAGGACGATTCAGACGACGACGATGACGACGACGAAGATGGCGAGCCGCGGTCACGTCGCCGGGGCATTGGGCAGTCGGCCAAGAGCAAGGGATTCAAGGACTGGGCCCGGTCCGCGCTCGGTATGGCTGGCTCGGCCGGCGGCGGCGCCGGTGCTCAGGGAAGCGAGGACGGCCAAGCGGCCGACGGCAGCTACAACCTCGAGCCGGTCGGCGGCTACAAGGTGCGCGTGGGCGACCTGGGCCCCAACGACGGCGTGGCTCGAGGCCCGCTGGGCCGCGACGAGGTGCGCCCCGAGAACAAGTCGGCCTTTGCGGCCAAGTTCTACGCCGAGCTGCAGGAGACCATCGATGCCGAAAAGGCGCAGCAGCCGTCGTCGTCGTCGGCCAAGAAGCCGAGGATCCGCAACGTCGAGGTCAAGCGCGACGAGGACTCGATCGCCTCGCGCCTGCGCCTGCCCGTCGTGGCCGAGGAGGAGAACATCGTGCGCACCATCATGGAGAATCCGGTGACGGTCATCTGCGGAGAGACGGGAAGCGGCAAGACGACCCAGGTGCCGCAGTTTCTCTACGAGGCCGCCTTTGGCCACCGCGACAGCTTCAACCCGGGCATGATTGGCATCACGCAGCCCCGGCGCGTGGCCGCCGTCAGCATGGCGCAGCGCGTCGCAAAGGAGCTCAGCCTGCCCGAGACCAAGGTGTCGCACCAGATCCGCTACGACGCCACCGTCAGCCCCATGACGGCCATCAAGTTCATGACTGACGGCGTGCTGCTGCGCGAGCTGGCCACCGACTTCCTGCTGAGCCGGTACAGCGCCATCATGGTCGACGAGGCGCACGAGCGCAGCGTCAACACCGACGTCCTCATTGGCGTCCTCAGCCGCGTCGTGCGCCTCCGCGAGCGGCGCTGGCTCGACGGCGTCGAGGGCGCACGCCCCCTCCGCCTCGTCATCATGAGCGCCACGCTGCGCGTCTCGGACTTTACCCACAACACGACGCTCTTTGCCTCGCCGCCGCCCGTCATCAACATCGACGCCCGTCAGCACCCGGTCACGGTCCACTTTAACCGCCGCACCGTGCAGGACTACCTCGCCGAGGCCGTCAAGAAGACGACCAAGATCCACGCCCGCCTGCCTCCCGGCGGCATCCTCATCTTCCTCACGGGCCAGCAGGAGATCACCACCGTCTGCAAGAGGCTCGAGAAGCGCTTCGGGCGCCGGGCGATCGAGCAGCGCAAACGCGAGCGGCAGAGGGCCGAGCAGCATCGGAGGTCGCGCCAGGGTGGCGAGGAAGATGACGAGGACGAGGGTCACGACGGCAGCGATGACGACGACGCCGACGCCGACGCCGGACCGCGCGTCCGCCTGGCTGCCAAGGACGGCGACGTGGAAGCCGAGGAGCTCGACCTCGGCATTTCCAAGGACCTCGCCCTCGACGTCGACGATGGCGCCATGGCCGATGCCGACGACGCCGCCGTCGAGGACCCGGACGCGCTCGACACCGATGACGAGGAGGGCGGCGGTGCGCGGCACGACGACGACCTGCCCGAGGAGCTGCGCGACGACACCGACGTGCCGATGCACATCCTGCCGCTCTACTCGCTGCTGCCCTCGGACAAGCAGATGCGCATCTTTGCCGAGCCGCCGGCCGATTCGCGGCTGGTCGTGGTGGCGACCAACGTGGCCGAGACGTCGCTGACGATCCCCAACATCAAGTACGTCGTCGATTGCGGGCGCGGCAAGGAGCGCAAGTACGACCTGCAGAGCGGCGTGCAGAGTTACGAGGTGACGTGGATCAGCAAGGCGTCGGCGGCGCAGCGCGCGGGCCGTGCCGGAAGGACGGGGCCCGGCCACTGCTACCGCCTCTACTCGTCGGCCGTGTACGAGGACCACTTCAGCCAGTTTAGCTCGCCCGAGATCCTGCGCACGCCCGTCGAGGGGCTGGTGCTCTCGATGAAGGCCATGAACATCGACAACGTGGCCAACTTCCCCTTCCCCACGCCGCCCGACAGGAGCACGATCCGCAGGGCCGAGAGGCTCCTCACCTACCTCGGCGCGCTCGAGGAGCACGAGGGCGTCGCGGCCGAAACGGGACGCAAGGCGAGCCACGCCCGCATCACCGACCTCGGACGCAGCATGACCCTCTTTCCCGTCTCGCCGCGCTTCGGCAAGCTGCTGGCCCAGGGACAGCAGGGCGGCTGCCTGCCTTACATGGTGGCGCTGGTGGCGGCGCTCAGCATCGGCGATCCCTTTGTGCGCGAGCAGGTCCTCGAGGACGACGACGACGGCGAAGGCGGCGACGGCGACAAGGACGGCAAGGCGCTCGCCCACGGAGAAAAGGAGGGCGACGAGGACCTGGCGCCCGAGCTGGCCAACCTGACCAACCAGGCGGCGCTGGAAAAGGAGCGGCGCAAGGCCAAGCGGGCCAAGTACTTTGCCACGATGCGCCGCTTCGAGGCGCTCGGCAAGGGCCTCAGCGACACGTTCCGCCTGCTGAGCGTCATCGGGGCCTACGAGTTCCAGGGCGGCGGGCAGGAGTTTTGCCGGCGCAACTTCCTGCGGCCCAAGGCCATGGAGGAGATGCACAAGCTGCGCGCCCAGCTGTGCAACCTGGTGGCGGCCAACGTGCCGCGCCTGGCCTCGGTGCTGGCCGACCCGCGCCTCTCGCCGCCGACCGAGGTGCAGCTCAAGATGATCCGCCAGCTGCTCGTCTCGGCCTACGTCGACCAGGTGGCCGTGCGCGCCGACCTGGTGACCAACGGCAGCGTCACGTCTGCCTCGCTCGCGCCGTCCAACGCCGACTCGGCCACCTCGCAGGCCATGTGGCGGCTGCGCACCGCGGGCGGCGGCGACCGCATGTCGTCGACGCGCGGCGTGCCGTACAAGGCCATGGGCCTGGGCGGCTTTGCATTCATCCACCCGTCGTCGGCCTTTTACCACTCCTCTCCGCCCGACTACGTCGTCTTTGGCGAGATCCAGCAGAGCCAGTCGAAGTACGCCAAGGTCTCGGGCTCAGAGAGCGCGGCGGGCGGCACCGTGTGGCTCAAGACGATCACCAAGGTCAACCCGGCGTGGCTCTCGACGCTGGGACGAAAGCTGTGCAGCTTCAGCAAGCCCGTCGAGCTGCCCGGCGGCGGCGGCGGCGGCAGCGGCGCTGTCGTTTCGTCGACGATGGCGGCGGGGATCAGGGCCATCAAGCGCGGCGAAAAGGCCGACGAGGTCAAGCGTGAGGTGATGCTGACGCCGACCTACGCTGTCGGGTCGGAGCGGGACGGCATGGCCGGAGGACTGGGCTGGGAGCTGCCGCCGATCAAGGCGACGCAGACGCTCGTCAAGGGGCGGTGGGTGACGAACCTGTGAGCGCCGCTGGTGCTGCCACTCAGAGGCCTTTCCGCACAATATCGAGCAACGATGCGATTCTCTCTCTTGACTCTTCCGACGGGACGGCTACTTGTCGGCCCACTCTTCTGGCTGCTTGCCCTCGAGCACCTGGTCACCCGTCGGGTCAAACTTGACATTCTCGGGGTGCTGGGTGGCCTTGCCGATAAACTTGGTGTGGCTGCCGTAGGCTGTCGTGGGGAGGGGGGCAAGGAGGAGCGCAGAAGAAGAGATGAATGAGCATGGCGGCAAGGGCACGGTGCAGGACAGCCGCCTCCTCGCGCGCCTGGCTCGAGCACGTACCGAGCAGGGCTTCTGTGACGGGGTGCCTGATCTCCATCCTGGTGAAAGCGAGGGTCCTGCCCATGCTAATGACCTCGCCGCTGACCTTGACCTCGTCGCCCTTGCCGCCGGCGCTCTTGACGTAGGTGGTGTTGATATCGGTACTGACGCCCGTCGAGTAGAGGCCCTTTGATGCGATGGCGAGCGAGCCCATGGTGTCGGCGAGGGTGGCGATGCAGCCGCCGTGCAGCGTGCCGAGGCGGTTGAGGTTGTGCGGCCCGATCTGGAACGTGGCGTCTATCCGGCCCGGGATCGACGAGACGATGCGCAGCTGCGGGATCGTCGAGGCATCGTGTCCCGACTGCGTCTGGCTGCGGTGCAAGGAGGAGGAGGAGGAGGAGGAGGAGGAGGAGGAGGAGGGAGGGGAGGAGGAGGAGGAGGAGGAGGAGGAGGAGGAGGAGGAGGAGGAGGAGGAGGA